TGGGGTCAGAGTGGAGCTGGGGGCAGAGCAGGGCTGGGTGGGGTTCCCTTCCCGCCACCCATGGGGGCAGGTCCAGGCCCTGCTATGCCCCCCAAATGTTCCTCCACACCCTCTAGGGGGCACGACCCACAGTTTGGGGACCACTGCTCTAGGAACACCCCTTCCAGGCTCCTTGCTCTGGTGAGCTCTCCTGGGAGCTCCTCTCCTCAGCAGCTTTCTGTCCCTAGGATCCCTTCAGGTGAGCCCTGGTAACCCTTTATCAGGCTCATTAGCTGTTTCGCTGCCAACCAGCCACCTAGGGATTTAATTACTTCCAGGTTGGTCTGGGTTGTCTCATTCTCCCTTACAGGAGCCAGTCAGTCTGGTCCCTGACTCCCCTAAAAGGGCCAGCCCTCTTGATACATTTCCCTCCACCCGCAGAGCCAACCTGTATTCAAAGATAGGCTTGACCATGGCTGACACTTGGTTCTGTTCTCCAGCCGGGGTGAGGTGGGGGGTACTTCCGGCCCTGCTGCCACAAGGAAATCTGCAAGGCCCTTGACCATAATTTTATTCTCATTACTGAAGTATAAAGAGACCAGGAGTTTGATTCCCCAATTTTCTAAATCCCCCATAGTCTTCAGCATGTCATAGTTCAGAACAACTCTTTGGCCATTCCTACTCTGCCCCCCTGAGACCAATCTCTACCATTGCCCCCATCTACCTCCATGGTGCCCGCTCTTTCCGTTGCCCCCTCTACCTGCCTGGTGCAAACCCCTTCCCTTGTCCCCCTTTGGGCTCCTTGGTGTCTGCCTCTCCCCTCACCCTCTCCTCTGTGTGCCACCTCTCCCCTCACTCTCCCTCTGCCCCCCTTGTGCTCAACTGCTTCCTTGCCCCCACCCTTCCCCCTGGTGCCTGCCCCTCTCCTCTCTCCCCTCCTTGCATCTTCCCCTCTTCTCATCTCCCCCCATCCCTCCTGGTGATTACCCCTTCCCTCCTCCCACCTCTGTCTTCCTGGCACACACCCCTCGTGTCACTTTCCTCCTTTATGACTGCCCTTTCCCTCACTCCACTGTTGTCCCCTGGAGTCTGCCACAACCCTTGCCCCCCATGTCCCTCGGACACTTGTCCTACCCCTGATACCTCTTTGTCCCCTTGTTACCTGCACCTTCTCCCACACCCTCCTTTTCCCCTAGTTCCAGCCCCTCCTTCTACTCCCCCTCTTCCTCCCTAGCACCTGCCCCTCTGTTCACCCCTTGTGTCCCCTGGTGCAAGCCCCTTCCCTTCCCCCCATCTCCCGTGCCACCCATCCCTTCTCCAGCCCATCCCTTTGGACCCCTGGTGCCCACCCCTCCCTTCATCTCTCTTTCCTTTGACACCAGTCCTGCCTCTCACGCATCCTATACAGCCCTGATGAATGCCCCTCCCATTCTCCCTTAGCTCCCCCAAGTGCTCGCCCCTCACATCACCCCATTCTGCCCCCTGGCACATGCTCCTTTGCTCACTGCCCCTCCACATACTCCTGGCACCAGCCCCTTCTCTTGCCCTCCTCCACCCACTGGTGACTGCCCCTGCCCTAGCCATCCCCTCTGCCCCCAGGCTCCTGCGTCACTCCATCCCCCTGGTGCCTGCCCATTCCCATCCTCCCCATAGTCCTGGCACCTGTCCCACTCCTCATCCCCCCTCACCCCCTGATACCAGTCTCTCTCCTTGATTCCCCCTGCCCCATTGGAGCTCCCCCCATTCCCTCACATCCCTCTGCCCCCTGGTGCCTGCCACTTCCCTTGCTTCCCTGTGCCCCCTGGGGTCTGTCTCCTTCTTCTACCCTGGTGCCCACCCCTCATCTCACCCCCTGCAGCCCCCTGGAACCTGCCCTTCCCTTCACCCCTCTTCATCCTCCTGGTGCCCGTTCCTCTTGCCCCCGCATTGCCTTTCTGCCTGCCCCTCCCCTCTCCCCCCTCTACTCCTGTCACCTACCCCTCCCCTTTCCTTTCTGAGCATCTGCCTGTCCCCTCCCCACCCCCATAGACACCTTCCCACCCCCCTTCCCTACTTCTCCTCCCCTTTGCCCCTCATTTTCTCCTCACAGGCAGATGGGCCCTGACTCCCCCCAGGCAACAACCCCCCACCCCTGCAATTGATGGGGACACAGGTTAATTTCCCTTTGATCCCAGTGCCCAGCCCCTGCCCCCAGCATTGACTCTGCGACTCTCTCCCCAGTGGATGTGACTCTGGATCCAGACACGGCAAATCCCTGGCTCATCCTCTCTGAGGATCAGAAACGTGAGAGACACGGAGACACACAACAGAATCTGCCCAACAATCCTGAGAGATTTGATACATATCCCATTGTCCTGGGCGCTGAGAGGTTCGCGGGCAGGAGGCGTTACTGGGAGGTGGAGGTGAGAGACAAGACTGAGTGGGACCTGGGGGTTTGTAGGG